GCAGCTGCCCCTGTGTTCAGGTGTACCTGAATTGTTGTTTGGATTTCCCAGGTTCACCTTAGACCTGACTTTTCCCCTTGCCTTTGATGACCACGGGGCTGTTGACGGGGCCTGTTGCCGTCCCCCCTTTGCTCACCCACATCGGTGCACCCAGTCCCTTCCCCAGGGAAGAGCCCAGCTCTTCCTGCTTCCCAGCATCCAGTTCTTACAGGCTTTTCCCTGCTGGGCTGCCTGGCCCGGCCCTGTGACCGGCAGTGAGCACCAGCACTGCCCACCCTGGGCCACAGTCACGCGGGAGAACACGGCACAGGCGGCTGCCTCGGGACGTTCGGGGGCAAAACGCTCAGCTGCCCTCATGATGTGGTAAAAACCCTCACAAGGCCATCAGGGACCCTGCAGCTGCCAGCCAAGGCAGAGGGACGGGGTGATATCAGACCTGCTCTGGGCCAGGGCCCAGCCTGGCTGGGTGTCATCTGGCCTGTCCCTGCCGGGGCGGGAGGTCGGGTTACCCCGGAGCACACGAGGGCAGCTCCTCTCCCTCCGTGGGGCTGGGTCAGGTGAGCTCCACTGCACCTCCTCTGGCACGCACCGGTTCCACTGGGAGGAAGCTGGAAAAGGTGAATCAGAAACCTATTTTGGTTATCCCAGCTTGGTTCTCCCAGTTTGCTTTTCCCAGTCTGGTTATCCCAGTCCGGTTTTCCCAGTCTGATTATCCCAGTTTGGTTTTCTCAGTCTGGTTCTCCCAGTTTGATTATCCTAGTTTGGGTTTCCCAGTTTGGGTTTCCCAGTCTGGTTCCCCCAATTTGGTTCTCCCAGTCTGGTTCTCCCAGTTTGGGTTTCTCAGTTTGGTTTTCCCAGTCTGGTTCTCCCAGTTTGGTTCTCCAAGTTTGGTTTTCCCAGTCTGGTTCTCCCAGTTTCGTTCTCCAAGTTTGGTTTTCCCAGTCTGGTTCTCCCAGTTTGGTTCTCCAAGTTTGGTTTTCCCACTTCGGTTCTCCCAGTTTGCTTTTCCCAGTCTAGTTATCCCAGTTTGGTTTTCCCAGTCTGATTATCCCAGTTTGGTTTTCTCAGTCTGGTTCTTCCAGTTTGGGTTTCCCAGTCTGGTTCTCCCAGTTTGGGTTTCCCAGTCTGGTTCTCCCAGTTTGGTTCTCCCAGTTTGATTTTCCCAGTTTGATTTTCCTAGTTTGATTCTCCCAGTTTGGTTCTCCCAGTTTCATTTTCCCAGTTTGATTCTCCCAGTTTGATTCTCCCAGTGTGGTTATCCCACTTTGGTTATCCCACTTCGGTTTTCCCAGTTTGGTTTTCCCAGTTTGGGTTTCCCAGTGTGGTTATCCCAGTTTGGTTTTCCCAGTTTGGGTTTCCCAGTTTGCTTTCCCAGTGTGGTTATCCCTGCTGCTCAGGTATTGGCCCATCCTGTTTTTTCTGGGATTGAATTCCCGGAGCATTCCCAGGTGCCCCCGCTGTGCTGAGGGTGGGGTTGTTGCTCTGGTGGGGGTGGGTGGCTGAGGGGAGGGGACAGGGACGAGCAGCAGGTGAAAAAGCAGCTCTGGGGACAACGACCCCCAGTTTGTGGTGTGGCTGAATGCCCTGGAAGGCCCCGAGTGCTTTTGGGTGCTGCAGAAACTCCTGTTCTTCCCCTCCCAGGGGCTCCCAGCCCTGTGGCAGAGGCTGCAGGACAACGAGAGGAGAGTTGGGGTTTGCTCCCTGGGGTGAGTGGGGAACAGGGGCATCCCCAGCACTTCACCTGGTGGAGTTTCTGTATTTCCGTCCCACCTTTCCCTTCGTGTCTGGGGTGAACAGAGGGGATCCCCAGCACTTTACCCAGTAGAGTTTCTGTATTTCAGTCCCACCTTTCCCTTCGTGTCTGGGGTGAACAGAGGGGATCCCCAGCACTTTACCCAGTAGAGTTTCTGTATTTCAGTCCCACCTTTCCCTCCATGTCTGGGGTGAACACTGAGCTCCTGGCTGTGGGGCAGGAGGGGTGGGTCTGCACAGAGTCAGCCCCACCACAGCCAAGCCTTCCAGTGCTTCCTGCAGCACTGTGGCCTTTGGAGGCAGCAGGAATTGTACAGCTCAGGTGCCCAAAGGCTGTGTCACGCTGGATGGACCCTGGAGAGATGACAGAGGTGACCAAAATCCATCCTTGTCCCCTCAGAGAGATGCTGTGCCACCAGCTGCTCCCTGCTCTGGTGTGGGAGCTGTGCTGGTGTGAAGCAGTGCTGTGAGCTGAGTTTGGACACTCCTGCTGGCAGCCTGAGGGCTGAGCTGGGACAACAAGGACAACTCCCTGGTGTCCATGTCCAGTTCCCTGGGACTCCACACTGCTCGAGCACGGAGCCTGAGGTGAGCACAGAGGGGATTTGCCTTTGTCACAGCAAAGGTTCAGGGTTCTCAGACTTAAAACAGGTCATTTCTGTGTTTTCTCCTCGTTTGATGTAGGAGTGAGAAGGTTTCGTGCCCTCAGTACAACCCCCCACAGACAGTTCAATGGTCGGGTTGCAAACACAACAGGGGAGAGGGCCAGGGCTGGCTGAGCTGTCAGTGTTTTAGGATAATACCCTGAGGGAGAGTAACAAAATCTGCCTGTGTCATAAATAATGCTGAATGGCTTATTTTGGCAAAGAATTTTCATTCCTGACAAATGCCATTTTGAGACAACCAATAACCACCTGCTAATTTGGGATGAAATTAGAATTGGACTCTGACATCCCCAGGTCAGCTCAGATGCAGTGTTTGGTGGGTTTCCAGCAGAGTCTCTCACATGGCTGATAGGAAATAATCTTTATGAGGCTGTCAAAGGGAAGGGAATGCCCAGCCTTACAAATCCTTGAGCTGGTTTATTGGGAAGGCCTATGTCAGAGGATTGCTAAGTAAAGCACATTACATAAGGCTGCCCTTTGGGTCGCTGAGGTCTGGTAACTGGCACATATTTTCAAGTCTATCAGACTGATTTCAGCATCTCCTGAATTATCAGTACCCCTCTGCTTTTTGAGGCAGAAGATGGGTTTTCTCTTCTGCAGACCTTCCGTGGTTTGGTGACTGTAAATGTGCTTAAAGATGTGTAAATGTGACTCTTTGGATGTGTCACCTGCACTTTTTAGCTTGAATCTGTCACAGCACAAGCTCAGCAGGTTGTGTGGCAGCTCAAGCTCTCTCTTTGACAGGAAGGATGTTTAGTTATTGAGGGGCAAGGTAGGAAATCCTCAGCACATCTCAGTTGGCCTCTGTGATGTCAAGGCACTGAGAATCCAAGCTCAAAATCTGGTTGATCTAAAGTGAGAGGCAGGGAATGATATTCCCATTTGGAAAGTACATTAAAAGTACAGGCAGACCTGCTCTCCTCCCGCCGGTTCCTCTTCCTACCTTTGTCATGCCTTCATGTAATTAATTGCTTTCCAATTACCAGAGGTAGTTTTATGCAGGGGGGCAACAGGCCCCTTGCCTGGTGTGTGGGGATTTACTTTCAGCTGATTAGAAGCCAAACCTTCGGAAATGATGTTTGCTTTAGGCTCTGGCCTGTCCTGTTGGATGGGGCTGGACTGGGGGCTGTGATTCCAGGCCAGGTCACATCCCTGGGGCTGCAGGGTTTGCCCAGCTTTGAGTGCTTGGAGAGCTTCGTGTCCAGCCTCTCCCACGGGCACTTTTGCTTCCTTGGAGAGGACCATCCCTGAGGGGAGAATGGCAGAGTGTGACTGCCATCCTTCCCTGAGATGAGAATGGCAGAGTGTGACTGCCATCCTTCCCTGAGATGAGAATGGCAGAGTGTGACTGCCATCCTTCCCTGAGATGAGAATGGCAGTGTGGCTGCCATCCTGCCCCAAGGTGGGACCATCCCTGAGGGGAGAATGGCAGTGTGGCTGCCATCCTCCCCTGAGGTGTGACTGTCCCTGAGGGGAGGAACACGGGCCAGGGAACACCAGGAATGTCTGCAACCTGCAGGCCTGGGGAGGGGTGGGAGCAAGGAGAGCTCTGGGTGCTCCATGGGTGCCCACTGCTCTCTGCCAGCTGAGGGAACTGTGTCTGTAACCTTTTCATCCCCTGCCCTGGGTCTTTGATTTTGGGACTTTTCTCGTTTCCCTGGAGATTTCCCTCCCTCAGCTCCAGGTGGCTCTGGATAAGTGTCTCCCAGCAGAGGGAGGCTTTGCTGACAAGCCAACCAAGTCTGGAGGTGTCTGATCTCCATTTCCAGCCTGACCCAATGGTTCCTAACCCCCTGTTAGAACCTTGCACACCTTCCATTCCAAAGGATTGTAGGTGACAGAGGCTGCTCTCAGCTGTGTAACAGGAGTGCAGGCTCGTGCCTCTCAGTGCTGATAAATCCACATTAACACTGTGAGCTGGTGCTGTGAAGTGCTCTGCCCATCCCTTTTAATGCTCATTCTTCAAAGAGTTATTTCGAAAAAGGAAAGTACGTGGAGAAGCCTCATCTTTAAATGTACTTGGTCACCTACTTTCATCTGAAGTTCAATTTGTCTTGTCCATCAGGGACCCCACTTGTTCTCCAGGTTGGTTTTAAACCAGTTGAACTCCAGTTTCCTTTAAACCACTCAGAGCCCTTCAGCTGTATCAGAGTTTGTAATGACTCGCTGTGAAGAGGAAACACAATCCACAGAAAAAGCTCCACTCTGACTGACTTGTGAAATGCTGAAGAATTTTGTTCATCTCAAGTTTGTCCAGCACCATTACTGGTATGGACTAAAATAATAATGAATAGGAGGCAGGTGCTCCGGGTTCCCATAAAAAACCAGATCCTCTGGATGTCTGGCGGACTAACAGCCCTGTGACAGGCGACACCAGCCAGGGCAGGGCCAGACAGCCCCCGGGAGGGAAGGGACAGGGAGAGGAGGGACAGGGGAGAGGAGTGACACGGGGAGAGAAGGGACCCGGGGAAGGCGAGAGGAGGGAGCGGCTGAGGAGGCTCCGGGGACCCAGCACTGCCCCGCGAGCTCTGCCTGCACAGGGACCGGCTGAGCCGCGGCTGCCCCAGCGCCGGGGCAGGAGGGGACCTCGGGTGGCACAGACCTCGGGTGGCACAGACCTCGGGTGGCACAGACCTCGGGTGGCACGGGCAGGTGAGTGCCGGACCTGCTCCGGACAGGGGCTGTGTTTGCTGTGAGCCCAGGTGGGTTTGAGCTCCTTGTGATCACCTTCACAGGGCAGAAAAGGTGGAGGGACAGACCCTGAGGGGGGACTGTGGAGGGACACGGTGAGAGGAGAGCGATGCCCTCTCTTTCAATTTTTTCCTATATTTCCTTTTTTTCTATGTTTAAATTTTTTTTCCTGTATTTGCTTTTTTCCTGTATTTCCATTTTTCTGGGCGGGACTTTGAGCAGCCTGGTCAGGTGGAAAGTGTCTCTGCCCATGGTAGGAGGTGGAACCAAACGAACTTTAAGGTCCTTTCCAACCCAAACCGTTCCAGGATTCTATGATTCTACGATTTTGGTTATTTCTCTGCTGGATGGCAGCATAATTTTCTGGCTCTAGATTATACACCTATTTCATTTTGATATTTTAGTGCTGGATGAAGAGAGAGTTTGGCAGCTAACAACCTTCAGCAGGAATGGGACAGCATTCCCAGAAATGGGAGTCCTCTGGTGCATTAACTGTGCAGGCACAGGTCAGGCAGGGCACTACCAGGACAGTGCTGGAATTAATTCCGGCGTCCCACACAGAAGGTGGGAAGGTGGCACATGCTGGGGCCTCTCGGGGCTCCAGGGAGAATTTCTTACCATTTATTTCTGTGTCAAACTTCCCTACGCAGGGAATGAAACGTTAAAATAGCTCGTCAGGCAAGGACAGGGCTTTTTTCATCTGTTGCCACTGGCAGTTTGGGGCAGCAAATAAATAAACAAACCAGAACTGGGGGGTTTGTTGTGTCTGGTTTGAAGCGGGGAGGGAAACTGAGGAACAGCCTCGTAACTTCAATCCCTGGTGGCATCTGAATAGCACAAGTTCTATTATTTCTTTTATTTACTGCAGGCACTGAGCTTTATTAACCCTCTGCCCGCCCAAGGGGTGGCACATGCAAAGTGCTTCCAACACACACAGGTAATTTTAGCTGGACAAGGGCATTTGGCAAAGTCCAGTGGCCATGTGGGGTCAAATGGAAGGGGCACAGACATGTCTTGCTCTCTGAGTGGGTTAAAATGTGCTTTTCTTCAGTGTCTCGGGGTGGAAAGTCCTGAGGGGGGGGGATGTGTCTGGTCACATGTTTGTGACATCACCAACACCTTTAATCACATCTTTGGTGAGTTTATACTAAACGTGTGTTGGCCCCATCTTGTTTTTTCCACGTGGAAAAGGGTAAGTAAATTCTAGCACTGGCCAGCCCAGGTGTTGGAACATGCAAGAAGGATAGTCCTGGGAGCAACTATCCCAGGAAAAGCGGGAATGTTGGATTTATGGGCAGCCAGGCTCCATCTCAATCCTGGATCGTGCTGCCAAACCCCTCCGGTCAGTCACGGATGCAAACCTTTAACTGGCCCTGGACAAGGGAAGAACAGAAATTCTGTGTGCTCTGGGAAGGAGGGAGCTGACCTGCAATGTGAAGGCAGAGCACTGCTGCCTCTGGGATCCTCACCCCAATTCCAATCTCCTCCTCTTGAGCTGCATCCCAGCGGGAGCTGCAGTGGGTCCAGTCCTGGCTCCATGTGGGCAGGGCTGACAGACCTCAGCTCACTCGTGGCATCTTGGGTGGGTGTGGGGGGGAATAACCAAGGCTTGGAGACTCAGTGGGTCCCTTAAATTCCTTCTGGAGGGTCCAATGTGGGTGATGTGCTGCTGAGGGATGGGGCTGAGCTTGGCTGTCTCCCACTGAAGGGAGCAGCGTGTTCTCAAGGCTTGGTACCTCACATTCATTTAAATTCAAATATTACGAGTCCAGAGGACTCACTGTGGCACCCACATTCATTGTGGGACTATTCCTGGTGCAGGGCATCCTCCTGGTCAAACCAAAATGCTGCTGTGTCACCCGCCTGGCCCATGGCCTGAGCTGGACAAACAATGTCCCTTTGCTTGCACAAGACCAGCGTGATGAGTCCTGCCAGGCTCCCCTGACTCGGGGTAGGATGTTGGGTGCTTGTAGAGGTGCAGGTACTCAGTAATCTTCACTGAATTTGGACCTTTATTCCATTTTCCATGCCCAAGTCTCTCCTTAAATGACTACAAATTTTTGGGTTTCCTTGCCTGGTGTTTGTGGGATGCTCATTGCTGTTACATCAAGGTAGACTTGAAACACCGAGCTCTGCACGTCCTCACCCATTACATCTCTGAATATTTCTGCTCCACAACCTCCCTGACATCACCCTGACCCTCAGTGCAGTGCCTGCCTGGACACCCCACGCTGCAGGGCAGTGCTGTGGCTTGGCCAAGTGACTCACATTCGAGACAAGTCTTTGAACTTGCTCATTTGTTTATGAACTGGGAAATCCAGCCAGTTTTTTGAACCTACCTTGGTTTCTTCAATTCCTGCTCTGTCTGAGCCACGTGTTGGGTGCCAACAGTCTGTAGGAAGGGCTGTGCCAGTGGGAGCGGGAGGACTTCATGCTGGTGTCCCAAGGAAGGGAAAACAGAAGATTAGAAGAGTCTTGTTTCCAGTGAAATCAGACTCTTAAATTCAGTCCTGAAATAACTGTCCTGCAGCTGTTGCCTCTTGCCACTTCCTCACTGCCTTTCCTTAGGGGAAGAGACTTTTCTTCCAGGGAAAAATGTGTCCCCTCTGCAGTGAAAGCAGCGGCCGCCGCTGAACGTGCCAGGCCTTGCTGGGACATCCTGCAGCTTCCCAGGGGCTCCTCCACTGGACACAGGGATTGTTCCCAGGGGCTC